GATATATGTGAGGAAACAAAACTAGACAAAACAAACTACAGTTGAAGATATATGTGAGGAAACAAAACTAGACAAAACAAACTACAGTTGAAGATATATGTGAGGAAACAAAACTAGACAAAACAAACTACAGTTGAAGATATATGTGAGGAAACAAAACTAGACAAAACAAAACTAGCCATTCCCTGTTTGGTTCTTCTTACAATCACATGAATGTGGTTAAAATAGTTTAGAAACTACAAACTGAAGTATCAATTTCATTTACACTTAATAAATATTAAAAAAAATTAATGGATTATTGTTCATGTAATAGACTACAAAATATTGATTCAGTTTCTCATACACAAGAGGGTTTTTTATACTTCTTAACTCTGGTATAGAATGTCAAGAAATTCATCTGTAAAAATAGATTAACTTTTGGTTGAACTTTTTTTATAACAGGCAAGGTCTGAGAAAATAACTAAAAAAACTTATTAAATACAGAATGAATGTTTTCAGTCCAGTGATGTTTTACAAGGGTAATAGGGTACAGCAATACCTTACATTTTTGAACTCTGGACATTTATCTACTAAGCCTTAATTCATATGCAACTCTAAGGATTAATGCCTCATATCCATCTAGGAATTGTGACCATTATCACAAGGATTTTAAGTTTTTTAACTTTAGTATATAACCTTGAACACTGTGGAATTATGAACTTAACTTAGTTAAGTTACTTAACTCTGTGGATTTATTCCCTTGTGAATGTGTGTCCTCTTATCCTATGGACTTCAACTTTAATTTGGCAGTTTTAAACTTCATATATGTGCAATAACATGGAATTCATATTCGTGCAGATTACAAATTACATCGATTAAACAAAATAAACTGTCAATTATCATAATACTTATGATATTAACTGATATTAATACTAATTGTTAGCAAATGTATTTTACATGTTGTGTCATTTGTTGGTGTGTGTGTGTGGGGACTTCTCTGAACAGGATACACAAACAGTACAAAGTGTTTAGCATTTGACTATTTACTGTAATGTCGTGTCTGTAACTCATACAACGAGAACCTTTGGAATCCACCAAAGACTGTTCCCCTACTTCTGAATTCGGGAAAACATCATTATTACACTCTAATATTTGGTAGTGAGAAATGCTCACAATATAAAAATTCATATAGATATGAACTAAAATATATTTTTATACGCACACTGAAGTCAAACTTAGGTGAAATAACTATATACAAACAGAAACCAGAACTAAACGATGTCTTGTACAATATAAAAGTATTAGGAAGTGAAGTACCTTTATGCACAAACATATATTTAATTCAAACAGTGTCTTGTATAAAAGCTTTTCAAGCTGGCTACCATTTTTTTTTACTTCTTCTAAGCTGATAATTTCAAATAACTAACCACGAATAACTCTCTTAAGTTCATACCAACGAAAGAAGAAAATCTATCCCATCTGAGACAAAAAACTTTTGAAAACCTGATCGAAATTTAAAATGTTTTACTCTTTCCAACAGTATCTTGCTGTAAATTTTTTATATATAAATAAATTTTGATATTAAGTGAACATTTAGTGTTTCCTTTATAATGTTAATTTTAAATTGTGCTTTACAAAAGAAACAGAATTTGGTGCTTGGGAAGGTTTTACCCTATATCTTCAATAATAAAATGACAGGTTGTGAAAAGCTTTCCAAACTGTTGTTTCACTAAATTTTGGGAAATTTCAGTTCTAGCAAAAAAAAATAAAGAATTTGATCTACATGTATTTTTGCAATTCAAGTACACCCTGAAATAAAAAAACAAAAAAATTTTTGTAACTTCAATTTTCTTATAATGAGATTGCTGTTAATAAAAAATGCTATAACAATATGAAGTAATTAGAAAAACAAACTTGGGAGGATTTAAATACTATATGATGTTTTGCATTTAAGTACTCCTTTTCTACCTTAATCTTACCCATCAGCTAGTTCCCAGGGTTCAGATGGTTTTCGAAAGCTGTGGTTAGAGCAGCCACTTCCACCACGGCTCATTTTAGGTGCCAAAGAGCCACAGGAGTACATCTAATTCATAAAAGTGAACATTTCACAATAAGGAATACTAGGTAGCATTCTGTCACAGTTATAATATGGAATGTTAACCATACATATATAAAGAATTATCCATTAACATGGAAAACTTAGTCATGTGACTTAACTTTTAAATTTATACTGAATATCAAAGTACTATGAACAAAACTTTCATGATGGCATTGCTATGAAACAGATCAAAAATAGTATGTAAAAACCAAAAAATTAATATTTTACTAACATTGTCTTTCTTTCTAAATAATTGTTCAGATTCATAAGATATGATTATTAAGTTTGTTTAGTTTTTAATTTCTAAAGCTCTTGACAGTTCAGTTTTCTAGTGTAACTTTTTTTCCTATTCTTTTCAGCAATTCAAACAGTAGACAGCTATTTTGAGATCAATTATTTCATTATAAGTTTGACAGCTCTTCAGAAGACACTGAATGACTGAAAAACTATGAATCAAGTTTTCAGTTTGAGACACATGCTTATAATTGAGGTGGTTTTATAACTTAATTTTTAGAAGCAGTTGTCATAACTCAGAGAACGAAGTGAAATAAAATATAGCATTGGTCATAAATTTTGAAGTATGGTATGAACACTCAAATGTTCACGAGAAGTTAAAAAATAAAGTGTTGTTTTGGTTTACATGTTATATTTAAACTCAGTATTAAAATACTTGGTATAAGAAGTTAATCTAGAATAATCAATATTTAGTAGGTTCTTCTATTAACCTTAACTATAATGACTACATCTATCAGGCATAGATGCTTGCACTTTCTGGCCACTCGGATCCATTTTTAAGACAAAATACACTGTATGTGAAAAACAGTTTTTTAAAAGTTTTTTGCTTAATTTCTTTGGTAAACAATGAATTTTTCCAATCTAAATCAATCATAAAATCACAATATTATTGGAGCCAAAATACGGTTCCTATGTTTTCCAAAGAATGCTTATAAATTTATCAGACTTTTGTTATATTTTTGTTTCCTGTTACAGTGAAGAACTTTTACGTTTCTCCAAAGTCCTGTTTTTAATATATAAAGACAGATGTGTCACCCAGAATACCAATATACAGACAGATGTGTCACCCAGAATACCAATATACAGACAGATTTGTCACCCAGAATACCAATATACAGATAGATTTGTCTCCCAAAATACCAATATACAGACAGATGTGTCACCCAGAATACCAATATACAGACAGATGTGTCACCCAGAATACCAATATACAGATAGATGTGTCACCCAGAATACCAATATACAGATAGATGTGTCACAGAGTACCAATTCACCTGGACACGTGTTTAAGATTGGTTAAAAAAAAATTAGGTTTTTATAGGTCATTTTCACGAACAAAAAGGACCACTTTCAAAATAAAGGCTTTAAAAGGCTCAGTGGGAGGTCTACAGTTTTTAGAGGTTATTAAACAGTTTTTTTTTTCATTTTGGCTGCATAATAGGTCAAAGGTGACACTGTTTAGTACTTTTTGAACTGGCAACACAACTTATGAATAGAATGAGTATTAGGACTTTGGGCTGCCAACTTGATAATTTTTATATCACTAGATTTGTCCTTCTTCCCAAATTCTGACAAAATAAAAATTGAGCTTTTTAGAGACTAGTGGAGATTTTCTGTAGGGATGAAACTAAGTCATGAAAAGTTTAAGCAAAAGTGCCTAAGCATAACATTTAATCATGATAATGGGTGTATAACAGTAGGAATTGTTGTGTTGTTTGGTTGTTTTTTTTTCAGAAGTATGGGTTATTGTCAATGTGATGGTATTATGAAGAAGGTGCAGTATCTTAGTTTGTCACCCATCACCCATTTGGAAATGTGTAATTAGATCTAGGTTTAACTGTCAGTTTTTTAATGATAAAAATAGTACTGAATTAGAGAAATTCCACTTCACACTGTTTTATTTGTTCTTTAAATTTTTGATTCTTTGCAAAGTTTAGATACTTACCTATATTTATATGTGAAATGTTAGGCTTTTTAGCTGCTGTCTTTCCATGTATACAACTTTATTGCATCCGTCTTCAAAAGAGTTGTATTGTTCAGTCTTACCCTTAGCATATCTTGTATTGCTGCATTTATCTCCAAGAATTATTTGAACTGATTTGCTGTTAAAAATATCTCAGTAATTCAATCAGGATGTTTCTTTTTGACATCCCTTCCTCTTTTTTATTAGATTTTAAACTCCCTGTTCTAATAAACTGCTCTTATGTTCTTTGAATTGTTCCTTTCAGAACATTAGTTATTGTGAAATGCACTACTCTATTTTCTTTTCAAAAGGTAAAGCAATAATCCATGCTTGTTTTGAAATTGTTTCATAGAAAGCTATGTTTCAAATGCAGAAAGTGATTCCCCTCTATTCTTCAGCACCTGAAACTTGCTTATGTAACGTTTACCAACCCAAAAGGGCACATGTATTATGAAGGAGTATCTCATGACATTTCACGTAATGCTTCAAATGAAGAATACTTTAACAACCAGTAAAGTCCCAACATTATCAAAATACTTTATAAGTTTGAACATAAAACAACTACTACTCTTATTGCCTGTGTTATATTATAAATACAAAAAAAAATTAATTCACATATACTATACAGTTTAATATTATACCAACTACTTAGCACCATTAAGTGAAGATTAAATAGGCTTAATCCACTGATACATATTTTTGCTATAACACATATATGTTTTCACACCCATTTTAAATCACAATGCTTGTTTCAGTTAAGTTAGTTGCAGTTAAAGGGGTGGGTGCAAGCCTTCTTGGTGTAAAACTTACAATGGGCTATTTGCACTCAACCCACCACAAGGAATTGAACCCTATATTTTAGCATTATAAGCCCATAAACTGACCCACTGATACTCTTTATGCAATAGTGGTCCCATTTTTGCAGGTTTTAAGGCAAAATCATTCCTTTTTTTCACATGCTGAGTTTAGACCTATGACTGGTACTGAAATGTGTGAAAATAATACAATTATAGAAGATATGAAACATAACCTGTAATAATTAATTGCTCATAATGCTTACATTCACAAAGATTATTGTTGTTGGATTTAGAATTTTTTTTTTTGAAATCATCAAAAGATCATTTCACCAAACAAACAAAACACATGTCCACACTAATTACAAACAACAGTTAGTCTTTAATTTAAAAATGATTGTACTTAAAAAAATAATTCTTAATACCAAAACTGATTACACTTATAAAAAAAGAAATAAGTTGAAATGTTTTAAAAAAGAACATGGTAAGAAAACTACACAGAACTATCAAATATGAGTTTATTAAACAACTAGACACTCCCACAGTTGAGATGACAGCCTACATTAATTCATACAATTACCTGTTTGTCAGTGTGCAACTCCATGTCATTGTCACGTAACCTTTTCACAACACTAAAAGTAGCCGGTCCTTTGTCCACATCTGCATATCTTTCTGATTCAACTGGTTGGTTGGCTACTCCCTTCAAACCACTCTTAATCTTTTCTTCAACAATCTTCATGGAGACCTCTCCTGCCACAAGTAATTACATTGTGAGAATAAAATTTTATCTGTGGTCATAATAATGCAATGCTAGGCTATACCCATGAACAAAACTACTACTGATGTCAATATAATATTTAATTAAGGTACAGGGAAACTTTAAGAGTTATGTAAAACAGCATTTCCCAAACTTTTGTCAGTCATGCTCACTCTCCTTAATAAGTATGGTTTCTTCCATGCCCAAATGCTGTAATTTAACCTACATTACATACCCAAAAATACTGTCATACTAAACTACTACATACCCATATATATACTTACTACACACCAAACAGTGCTGTAAATCTAACCTATTAAATGCCCCCAAATTCTGTAAACTTAACCTACTAGGTGCCCAAAAATGCTGTAAACTTAACCTACATTACATACTCAAAAATACTGTCATACTAAACTACTACATACCCATATATATACTTACTACACGCCAAACAGTGCTGTAAATCTAACCTATTAAATGCCCCCAAATTATGTAAACTTAACCTACTATGTGCCCAAAAATGCTGTAAACTTAATCTACATTACATACCCAAAAATACTGTCATACTAAACTACTACATACCCATATATATACTTACTACATGCCCAACAGTGCTGTAAACCTAACCTACTACACACCCAAAAATACTGTCATGCTAAGTTTCTACATGTCCAATAGTACTGTAAATCTAACCTATTACACATCAAACAATATCAAAACCTAATATATTACATATGAAAAAAATAATATCGCCTAACCCACTACATGTTTAGCAGCACTGTGAGCATAACTTACTACATGTCCAATAATGTTATGAACCTTAACTACTAGATACCTAATAGTATTGTGTATCTAACTTACTACATGTCCAATAATGTTATGAACCTTAACTACTAGATACCTAATAGTATTGTGTATCTAACTTACTACATGTCCAATAATGTTATGAACCTTAACTGCTAGATACCTAATAGTATTGTGTATCTAACTTACTACTTGTCCAATAATGTTATGAACCTTAACTACTAGATACCTAATAGTATTGTGTATCTAACTTACTACTTGTCCAATAATGTTATGAACCTTAACTACTAGATA